AGAGGAGATTCTACTGGCTGTGTGTTGAGGTCACCTTGCCCAGCACTCCCTGCCAGCCAGCATTGGGGGCTGGCTTTGGTCTCTCTGTCTCTGTCTGTCTGTCTGCCTCTCTTTCTCTCTCGGGAACTGGGATGGGGTAGGAGTGCTCCGTACATGGGGCTGGGGTGTCATGCTGGGGGACCCTGGAAGCACCTATCCCAAGAGTTATCACAGTCTAGGATATATACCTTCTATTGCTTCTTCCTTCATCATCTTGATATTTTTATAAAGAACAAAGAGCCCTCTTCCTAAAATAATAATCCTTGCTCTAACCAAATGTGTCCACCATTGAAATGAAATGCCAGTTAATTCCTTTCCTTTGAAGCTCAAACATATGACCAGTCATGGATATCAAGTATCCCAACAATAAAGACCTTTTAATATTTTCTCCTCTCTTCCCTGCTTCTTGTTTCCAAAATCCAAGGTTTTTTTTTTTTCTCTAACTCTAAGCAAAAACACGTGGAAAAATTCTTTTCAAAAAAGCTTTCCCATACCATCCAAATGGTTTCCTGATTATAAAAGGAACCCATACAACTACAAATTGAAAAGTCCTTTATCACAGAACTGGAGGGGAGTGGCAGGGATGGAGAGGATATGCTATTAGTGGGACTCTCTGCAGGAGACATATGCGGGCCTTGGGACCCCTCAGGCCCAGAGGACTAGTTCTTGAGCTGGGCATCTGCCTGAAGCAGGGGACTGGGAATGAGTGGCAGGTACCTTGGCTTGTCGGCTGGCTCCAGCAGCTCGGGGGTGCAGAGGGAGGTCGTGAATTTCAGTCTGCTGTTTAGCAAAGTTCACAAATACCTAGAGGCATGAAAAGAACAAGAGTAGGTAGATGTTTCCAGAACAATGGTGCCTTCCACCCACCCACCCCCTTTGCTTTCTCTTTTCCACAGTTAATATACAGCCCTGCTGGAGCAGCTTGTGTACTGCAGGAGGGGAGGCTGGCCCAACCAGGAAGCCTGGTCACCAGAATCTTGGGCAGGGATTGTGTCTTCAAATTTTGAGCTAAGCCAAAGAAATTCCTGTGGGAGGATTCAGAGGATTTGGGGCACCAGAGCTTAGGATATACAAGGCAAGGCAGATCTCAGCTAGCAGTACCCTCCTAAACCTCTGAAGGAGAAACAAAAAACAAAACAGGAATCCTATCTCATCTCTTCTCCGTTCTTTATTCGATGTGCAGTGTGGCCGGGACCCTTGCTCCTGCCTCCATCTGGTTACTGAGAAGAAGGTGCTGGTGAGCCAGCTGTTCAGAGGGTAAATGGACACTTTTGCCTATTTCCACTGCTTTATTGAGCAGTCTTTAAGGATATTTATTTAAAACAAATAAACACACAACAACAAACAAATAACCCCCAGAAACAACTCAAAAGTCCAAATGGATGAATAGGTAAATAAAATGTGGTATAAACATACAATGAAATATTACTCAGTCTTTAAAGAGGGATATTCTGGCACGTGCTACAACAAGATAAACCTTGAGGACATTATGTCAAGTGAAATAAGCTACAAAAAAGGACAAAATACCGTATAATTTTACTTATATGAGGTATGTGGAGTAGTCAACAGAAAGTGGAATAGTGGTTACCAGTGGCTGAGCTGGGGGTGGGGGTGGAGGGCTATTATTTAATGGCTATAGAATTTCAATTTGGGAAGATAAACAATTTCTGGAGAATTTCTGGTAATGGTTGCACAACAATGTGAATGCACTTAATGCTATTGAATTGTACACTTAAAATGGGTAATTATAATATATATATATATTTTACCACAATAAAAAAGTGATCACATTAAAAAACCTGACACACGACACATGCATTTATCAAAACTCTCCGAATTGTACACTTTAAGTGGATCTATTTTATTGTATGTAAATTAAACATCAGTAAAGTTGATCTGAAAAAGAAAAAGCCACCACAACAAACCAGGAAGGATGAAATACGATCTTAGTTTAGTGGGGAAGGATGACGTAAAGTCAGTGAAGTTTGCTGATACTAAAATAGTATTAGAAAACAATTTCTGGTATACCGTGTTTTACCCCAACGGATGGATGGACTGAAGTGTTAAAACTCAGGCATGTCATGCCTCCCTCTCATGTGGATTTCAGCCCAGGTCGGGAGGTCTGGCCCAGCCTTTGCACAGCCCCGCTCTGCATGTAGCACCCCTCGGTGACTTGCCTGGTCCAGCGTGGTCTGTGTGACCGAGTACTCCTCAATGAGTAGACTGTCCTTGTGGGAGACGAGCAGCCGGAAGATCCTGGCTAGGGAGGAGGAGGAGACCTGGAACTGGAGCATGTTGTAGTGCCTCTCTCTCTGCACGCTGCCGGGGAAGTTCCCCTCGAAGAACTGCTCCACGGGGTTCAGATCAGGGAGCAAGTCGTCTTTTGGGGATTTGATTTTCATTGTGACGATGTAGCCATCTCCAAACCTACGGGACACCCACAGAGGTGTGGTACAGGCCTGTTAGTAGTTGGGTCTAAGGCAATCCCAAAATAAGGAATAGACTCATCAAAAATATTGGGGATTAAAAGCCCATACGATAGATCTTCTATGCATGCTTAAAACTAGGAGGACAAAAATCCATGGTAGTTTCTGGAGAGATAGTTCGATACTAGTTGTTAGAGGTCTAAATGTGTGTGTGGTGACGTGGATCACCAGACCTATGTCACAGCTTCCTGTGTCCAACTCCTGGAGGCATGGATGTTTCCTGCTTCTTTCCTTCTCATGGACTCACTGAATTCAAAGGTGGTTTTAGGCCCCTGCAGAGATCATAGGCCTGCCCATGAAGGCTCACAGGGCCAGTGCTCACTCAGTGGTAGAAAGGCTACCTGGCCCTGTAAGGGACTGGCCAGGAGGGAGTAAAGGTGTGGAAAGGGAGCACTTCCCTGTGGAAATATCCAGAATACATGGAGCTGCCAGGGCCAGGGCCATCTGTGCTTCCCTCCTCCACTTACAGGTGAGTGGGTTGCTGGTGTGGGGATAAAGAATGGTCCACAAGAGAGAGTGTGCACAGCCAGCTGGCTTCCCCACACCCTTATGTCCCGGTATAACTGTGTCGGTTATAACTTATTTCAATGTTATAACATGATCGAGGATTATTCCCCTCTATAATAAAATGCTTTTACCTTTCAGGTCTAGAACTCTTTCTCTTTCTACATGGGGAACAGTCCCCTCTCACCTGCTCTACCATAGGGATGTTGGGGAGTGAGAGGAAAAGGAGGACCCCACCAGGAAGGTAACAGAGGCACCATCTCCTTACTTGTACTTGAGGTGCTGAATTGTGCCCAGACACTGAAATGTGCCCTTCACCATGATAGCCAGCCGGGTACACAGGGCCTCACATTCTTCCATACTGTGGGGCAAGAGAGAGGAGGTGAGGTGTGGGGAGGACTCCTGCCTGCCCAACCGCCCACTCCAGCACCTGGGAATTGCTTGCCTGTGGGATGTGAGGACCACAGCCTTCCCTTCTCTAATGATGCTCATGATGGTGTTCCATAGCATGCGGCGTGCTTGGGGGTCCATGCCTGTGGTGGGCTCATCCTGTGGGGAGGCAGAGAGGGCAGGGCCGGGCTTAGAGTCAGCCTTCCCTGCTTACTACCCGCACCCCCTCCCTGGCTGACTTCCTCTGAGCACTGTCTTTGGCTGACAATGCACGAAGTCACTCCCCAGTGGGACAAGACCCGGGGTACCCAGATGCAGAGTATGGAAGGCAGGCAGTGAATTTAGAGAGTAAAGATAGGTCATGCACACCTCTAGACCCATTTCATCCCAGGAATGGGTTAAGGTTAATTAAGGCAATAGTAGAATTACCTTAAAAAACCAACAAAAAAACCCCCTCCAAACCTTATTCCTGTTTGCAAGGAGGCAGGGAGAGAGCCCAGGTGACTTTTCTTGTTCTCTTCAAGTCCTATACTCATAAATCCCAGACTACATGGGCATGGGGGCCTCAAGCCTGGGCCTAGTCCGGCTCTGGTGAGAGTCACATGAGCCTTTGATATGTTCACAAGGAGACAGGGAGATAGCTTAGATGACTTTACTGGTTCCCTCTGAGTCCTGTGACCCATGGCCTCATAAACCCCTGACCTCATGAGCATAGGGGCCTCAGGCTCCGAGTGAGAGTCACATGAGCCTTTGATGCAGGCCAATGCTCCTATCCACTCTGGATCCCAGACAGACCCCCTCAGGCAGTAGTAATTTCTGAGCAGACACCGACATTCCGACATTCCTCAGAGGGGCTGAGCTTCCCTGCTGTAAGCCTGTGTTCCCACAAGGGACATCCCAGAAACTCAGAGTAAGAATGTGCTGTGACTCTAGCTTTCCCCAAGAGCTATGAACCAAACTTTGTGCTGATTTGCTCAAAATGAGAAGTATAGGGAACAGTCGAGACAAAAACAGACCGCTGCATTTTCTAAATCTGATGACCTGACCACAGAGATGCACCACTTGGTACCAGCCCTCAGGCCTGCCTGTCCCCATGGTGGCCCTCACCAGCAGCACCAGCGGCGGGCAGCCGATCAGGGCAATGGCTGTGGAGAGTTTCCGCTTGTTGCCCCCGCTGTAGGTGCCTGCCAGGCGGTCCGCATAGAGAGAGAGGCCCAGGCTCTGAATACTCCAGTTTGCCACCTAGGGAAGAGAAAGAAATATCATTTGGGAAAGACAAACAAGCAAACACTCCAAACCTCCAGCAATTCAAAGCTGAGAGCTTCCAGATCTCACACCTCTATGACAGACGCTAGGCCAAAACAGTGCCACCTGCTGACTCATGTTCTCTGGCACACGCTTCGGCAGCCAGGCATCTCCTTTGCACTCTGTGCCTTAGATTCCAGTGTGCCTTGGTCAGCTCACTGGCCCCTGAGGAATGAACGTTAGCCTCATTACAAGCAAGACAGAGCTTCTTACCCAGTGTCTCAGACTATGGCTAGGAGGGGAAGAGAAAGAGTCTAGGGTCTGTTTGAGAAGATAGTGGTCTGTTGATTCCACACCTCAACTGGGTCATACTTGGGGTCTTGTGCATCAAATGTATACTTTTTGAGGACCCACTATGAGCCAGGCACTGTACTAGACCCTGGAGAATAGTAGTGAATATAGCCAGTGACCTTGTACTCACAGATGGGGGTGTGTGACAGACCATTGAAATAAACAGAATAATGACAGATTATAACAGTGCTTTGAGGGAATGCAATAGAGAAGTATGATAGAAAATAACAGGTGTGTGTGTGTGTGTGTGTGTGTGTGTGCGTGTGCGCATGCACGCGTACTCACAGGAAACTAAGGAAGTCACTGGAGAAAAACCCACCATGCTTCTACCTTTTGCACTTGTACCTCTGCTTGGAATGTCCTGCCTGATATTCACATGGCCCACTTTCTCAGCTTCGTTAGGTCTTCACTCAGAAGTCACTTCCTTCCTCTGTGAAGTTTTCCCTGGGCCACCCTACTTAAAAGTGCAAACCTACCCCCTAAATTCTTCGTTGCTTTATTTTTTCGCTAAGGACTTTTCACTCACAAATGTACTGTATATTTTGCTTACTTATCTGTTTACCGTCTGTCTCTCCCACTAGAGTGTAAGCTCCATTTTTGACTTTTTATTTGGAATAGTTTCCAACTTACAGAAATGTGTAGAACTAAGAATCGTACAAAGAATACTCACAAACCCTTTACTTTTGCTTTTTCTCTTT